TATGGCTACCGTAACAAATTACCACATACTGGGTGGCTTCAGACTACAGAAACTTATTCTGTCACAGTTCTGGAGGCTAGACGTCTGAGATCAAGGTGTTGGCAAGGTTGGTCTCTTCTGTGCGTTCTAGGGGAGGACCTGTTGCGTGCCTCCTCTCCTAGCCTCGATGGTTGCCGGGACTCCTTGGCATTTCTCGTTTTGTAGACGCATCACTCCCGTCTCTGCCTTCATCTCCACGTGGCTTTTTCTCCTATGTCTGTCTCTCTGTCTTCTCTTTATAAGGATACCAGTCATTGAACTTAGGGCCCATCCTTATCCAGTATGACTTCATCCTTACTTGATTACGTTGCAAAGACCCTATTTCCAAATAAAGTCATATTCACAGGTATGGGGGTCGGGCTTTTGGGGGACACTATTCAATCTAGTACAATGAGTTATTCCAATACACTAACTACGATAGAAGTTACTGGTTATAGAACTTAATTAGAAGTGAATAACAAAGATACTTGTATTATGAATCTAATACCCAAATTTTTTCTAAATTTCTCTTAAAAATTTTTTTATTTTCTAATTTGTTTTCTGCTGTGGAAAGTATTTTTATAATCTTCCTAAAATTAGCTCTATGTTTAGAAAGCCATTCTGGGGCTTATGATTGTAGTTGTGGGCATTTATAGAGAGGAAGGGGCCAAAAATTTTACCAAGACTACTAACTAAATATACCGTTCAAATCAGAAGTCTCCACCTACACTAGAGAGATATTGGCTAGATTTGTAACAAGTGTAGTTAGAAATTAAGAGGCACTGCATTTCAAAGGATTTAGCTCTTCAGTAAAAACTATATCTAGACACAATGTTACCTACTGTGGCAAGAATGATAACTAAAAGCTACAAATTCAGATATACTTAATTTTCTTTTTTTAATTCCAACACTCCATTTCTATCTCATGGAAGAAATTTTAATCTAGTCATTTTTACCTAAACTCAGTCAGATTTGGTTATCTTTTCATAAATTTTAGGTTTAAGCTCTGTGACTTTCAGGTTTGTTCCCTTTGCCCCTTCCGTCCTAGTCTACCTCAGAACCAGGCATTGTCCGCTGCACCTCCACATTGACTTGTATTGTGAGGCCCGATTTCCCAAGAGTGGGGCCTCTTGAGAACCACCAGCTCTAGCTAACTTCTCTACTCCTCACAGCTACAAGAGGAAAATCACTCAGCTGTTGGGGGGACTTTTTTGGGCATTGGAGGCTTTCTGTGAGGCTACCTTAGGCCCCTTGTATGCAAGCATCCTAAGCAGCCACCTCAATCTATTTAACCTTTGGTCTCATGTGGGCCTCTTTTTTGGAGAAATTAGATCTACTCTCATAAAACTGAGTTTAATGTGTGTGTGTGTGTGTGTGTGTGTGCACGTGCTCGCATGTGTGTAACGGGGCAGGGGTTCTTATGTCACACTCCCCTGTGGATGGGCTGCAGGAGAAGACAAGGACTGAGGGCTTGTCGCAAGGACACTCATCAATGGCCAATCCTCTGGTTTTTTTCTCCAGCCCTAGCCTTTCTTCCCTGAGTTCTACATAACAAGTATTGGGTGGCAGTAGGAAAAATGGATTTTTAAATTGTTCTTGTAACCTAACATAAAGTCACCTAAACTATGACTTTAGAATTTTAGAATAAAACATTTAGTGTCCTTCTGTTTGTTTTGGTTCCACTCTCCAGGGTGATCATGACTTCACAAGTTGAGGGTGAATAGGAGATCATTTACAGATTTTTTAAAAAGTAGGGGTGGAGGATGCAGCACATCACAGAGTAATCTGGTTCTCTGCTACCTTTCTCTTCACAATTCTTGCTCCATCTGCTTTGTTGTGTCCTCTTCCTCCACCTGAGCACAGGTCTTCCCAAAATTTCTCTATATAGAGACTATTCTTTGGGTAATCTCATCCACTTACTACCCTCAACAATTGCCTCTCTGCTCTGACTTCCAATTATATATTTTAATCCTAAATTGGTTCCCATTTTTCTTTCTGACAAATGTAAATAAAGATCAGAATTAGTTTTTATTTAGGAGTCTAAACTGCCCCAAGTACAGACTACTTGAGTGCTATAATTATTCTGGATTCAGTCCCCCCCACCCCCATTTTCTATATAAAATCTTAAAATTTCAAATTTCTAGATTCTTAAAGGGAATTATTAACTGTATTTGTGATGAAGCTGCTCTAATTTTTTGCAGTTTAGTTTAGAAGAGCAGTTGTCTGCCATAGCTCAGGAAAAAAATTGCTCTCGTCCCCCACCTACCTCCTAGGTCTCTTTGAACTTCTTTAGAAGCTGTCCTGTCCAACATAGTGGCAATATTTCCATAGTGGAAGTGCTTTTTAAGGCAGAATTGTCCAATCAAGGCTGCTTCTAAAGTAAGTCTTAAGGTAAAACTAGTGTAAAGGTTAAAAAGCCTAGTGCCTAGATTCAAATTGCAGCTCTGTTACTAAATACTTGTTTTGCAATGGACAAATTATATAACTTCTGTATCTGAGTTTCCTTATCTATAAAATGTGGATAATAATAATCTCTAATTTATTGGGATTTTGTGAGGATTAAACAAACTGTGAAAGAACTGCCTCATACTAAGAACTATATAAGTAGCTATGATTATGACATATAAAAAAGAGGCATGAGAGCTACACAGATTGGTTAAATAAATATTAAACCAAGTGGAATTGAGAGCCTACTACTTGCAAATAGACTCAGGAACTGGCAGATTAGCCTTAAAGCCAGACCACAAGGAACCTACAGAACAAAGGAAGATTCCTGCAGAGATTGCTAACAACTGTTTACCCATACCTTTAACTCTTGCCCATACTAGGAAAGGAAAACAGGAAAGCAAAAACTTTAAGCTGTACCTTGCTCAAGTTAAAGATAAACTCAACCATTCATTCAATTCTTTAGCCCCTACAATCAATAATTTTTCATAGAAACTAAAATAACATATATAAACCCAGCTCTTTAGATGTTAGGGGTCTCATTCTCTGACTCAGAGGAAACCACGCTTTGTTTATGGAGCGTTATTCCGTCTCTAATAAACATTCCTTTAACTTGCTTGCTCTTCAGTTCTTTCCTGTGTAAAGCCAAGGCCCCTCTCTTGGTGTAGGGCTTGAGTCCCCACGGTGGGGTGGGGGGGATTCTCTTTGTCTTTTGCTGTTTGAACCTCTAGTCTAGTCATCAGCCTTGGCCTCTCACAACTGGTAATCTCTATTATGCCAGACAAGCTGTTTAATTTTGTTATTCGTTTAAAGTTTCAGCTTTTAAAAAGATCTAACATACTTTGTACATTATACACACACACACAGCTTAAGCACTAATACACATCATAATGATTTCTTTTCAATAGCTATTGAAGCAATAGTTATAAAAATGTTTGTTCTTGGCCTAGAGTAGGGTCTCCAAGAAAGAAGGCATGGATGTGACATTCAAGGTCAAGACTCGGTGACCTATTGAATATAGAGGATCTGGTGGGTAAAGGAATCACACATTGCTTTAAGGGACCAACCTGGGGTGACAGGGACATTAAAGATAGATGTGCTGTATTTATCTATTGCTATGTAAAAAAGTGATCCCAAAACACAGTAGTTTAAAACAGCAATCGACATTTATTCATTTTATTATTATTTTTTTTTTTCGTGGATCATGAATTTAGACAGGGCACAAGAGGGACAGCTTGTCTTTGCTCAATAATGCGTGGGGGCTCAACTAGAAGGGTTGAAGGCTGGGAACTGGAATCATCTAAGGGCTTTTTATCCATATTTGTGGCTGGACCTGACCTAAAAAATCACATAACCTCACTCCTGCCATACTCCATGGTGGAGGCAGTCAGTAGTCCCTGCCCAGATTTTAGGGGAGAGAACACAGACCCCACTTCTGGTTGGAGGAGTAAGCATCAGTCACATTGAAAGATGGCTTGTGGAGCTATAGGTGTGGCTAGTTTGAAAAAAACAATCTCCCACAGCTGCCAACAAAACGTAATAACAAGTTAACACATAAGTAAGGGAAACTTTAGGAAAAACAAGGGTTTGGCTTAAAGTTGAGTTGAAGTATTCATTTTGTATGTTGGCATTCCTTTTATCTTGTATTTGACAAATAATGTAAAGGAAGATAATGCTACCAAGTCACAAAGATTCGCTGTCTCCAACTGAAGATCCAAAGTTAAGTAATAGCTTCCCAAAATGTGTGAGAATGATCACAGTAACGATATCATTCTCTGGGAAAAGATACAGGAAAGCTGTACAATATAATAATATCAGTTCACACTCCAGCTCTACAACTTTCTTTGCAATCATGGACGAAAAGTTAACTTCTTTGTATTTTAGTTATTGTGCAGGTTCAGAGATAGTCACCCCAAGATGTGCTTCGGTGGTATGTGGATTGTATTGAGCTAAAGACAACTTTAGCTTCAGGCTCAGGAGAAACTTCTGCCCTACTTTTGACTACCTGGAAGAACTTGAATTAGGGGTCTATGGGAGATTAGTTAAGGGGTGGATAATACAGCATCTAATTCATGGAGTTTTTGTTAAGATTAATCCTTATTAATTGTTCAGTAAAGTTGTTACTATGTATTCTATTCCTTTTATTCCTCTTACTGAAAAACAATTGCAAAACTATCTCATATTAAAAGCTATTTGGATTGCTTAAAAATATTTTCATGCATTTCCTTCGTACTTTATGGGAATATGCTCCCAGAAATGAAAAGGCCCAGGTTTACACATAAACCACTGGCTTGGGAAGGTCAAGGGCAGTGCAGGAGCAGCGCGCCAAGTGTTTACTGGCTTCCCTGCGAACATCCGGAACCGCGTGAGCAGTTCCTCAGCGGGGCTGCGCCAACTTCGCGTGAGAGCTCCGCCCTCCTCTGGCGGCGGGCCAATCACCGCGGGCCGCGGGCTCCTTAGCTGCCATTGGAGGGGGCCGCTCCGGAGCCACAGGGCTGGGGAGGTGGCCGTTGTCGCGCACTTGGACCTGCGCACTCGCGGCCCGTGCTCCGCCTTCGAAGTCCGTGCTCCGCCTTCGAAGTCCGTGCTCCGCCTTCGAAGTCCGTGCTCCGCGCTAGGCCAGTGCCATGGCGGTAGTGGCGGCCCTTCTGCGCGGCTGTGTCCGCCGGTGCAGCCCCCTGCTTCGGCTACAGATGCAGGTGAGAGGGGCTGGCGCCCGGGGCCGGGGGTTCGGCGTGCCCAGTCCCCGCCCTGGCAGGTCCCTGCCTGCGGCTCCGCGGCGGAGCCTCGCTGCAGGCTTCAAGAGTCATCCTTCCGCGGGCCCCGCTCGGAAGGCACGCCAGTGACTGTGTGGGTTCCCAGGGTTTCTTGTGTAGTTGCGATGATTGCTGACTCGTGTGGATAAAGGGCTGCGCAGTTTGGCCGGCGGAGAGGCCTGGGATTGCCTCTGGCCTTTCCTGACCTCGTGGAAGTTCCGTAATACTATTTCTGAGCTTTTCTGTGAGCGTTAGATCAAGAGATTTTGTTTTCGTGCAATAGGTGATCATTGGGCTTACAAGGTGTGAGGCACTATGTGATAATAAAATGAAGTATGCCTGTACTGATTATAATTAAATGGTCCTTTAGACCTTTTAGGCCTGCAGTTGGATTTCTGTGCCACTCACCTGAAGAATACCAGTGATTTTTTTTGTGTGTATTTTTTCCTTCTTGACCTTTATACGTATGTGACTCTATTGACCTCTACTTGTAACTCCTATTTTTTTGTTTTGAACTAAAATCATTCTTTTAATACTCAGACTTTAAAAAATTTTCCTGCATTGTTCTTGTCCTGGGCCTGTTAGCTTCCAGATTCATTACTCTGCTCTCTGCTGTCTGGATTGCTGTGAGGCTGACCATTGCAGGTCCCAACCTCATGATCTCCATTAGCTGTGTGCAGACACTTGCTGAAGATTGGGAAACAGGAAAGGAGAAGCCATGATAATTTCCCCCTCCCCACTTCTGTGGTGTTTCTGACAATGTCTGTGACTCCTTTGGTTCTTGCTTCTGCCAGGTAACCCTGCTTCTTCCCTTTGTCCTAAGTGTGCTAGTGCCTTCTTGTTGCTAATCTCTGTACTCTGTCTCCTGTGTTCTCAGCTCTTCTATCACCTGTGTATTTAATTCTCTGCATTTAATTCTGTGTTTCAAGTGAATGGTTTTTATTTTCCTGATTGAATCCTGATGGATACACTCAATGTTTTTGCTCCTTCCCATTCATTTTCACCCTGTGGATTTTTGAATCTCCTTCCTTATGTTGTAGCTGCCAGCCCCCGATAGACACACGGACCACCAGAAACCAGTGAGTTATAGGAAACGCACTCTTTATTCAGCCAGCTGGGTCTGCCAGGGGTACGCAGACCCCAAATTAAGCAGCCCCAAAATGTAGAGGTACAGGGTTTTTAAGCCCTAAACCCTATTCCTCATTCTGTCTTAAACACAAAGTTCTTCTTCTGTTTACTAACTGTCAACCCACAGGTCGGTTGTGCAAGCGGGGATACAGAAGCAGAAAGCGTAGTTAGAATGTTATATTCCCATGGATGATGACTTATGTTCTCATGGGCGATAGCCGAGCAGTAATTTTCTAGCTAGCACACTTGGGCCTTTCTTCCTACACAGGCCAAAAGAACAGCCTGGTGTTGTGGTAAGCAAACAAGTAGTGATAGTAATCTGAGATGGTAATAGACAGGGAGATAAATGGATAGATTCAAGAGAAAGCACCATGGTAGAATCTGTTGAACTTAATGACTGGCTGTGAGGGGCTGAGAAAGGAGTTAAGTATAATTTTGGGGGCCTGGCCTGACATGTATGTGGAACACTGAGGAACAGATTTGGTGGTAGTACTTTGGAAAGAGCAGTTGCCTCAATTTTATTTCTTCCTAAATTTTATTACTATTTTAAATAAAATATATACTGTGTGTAATAAAATATATAATATGTACCTATATATGTGTAAGCATGTAAAAAACATACATGTATAATAAACTGATTGGATTTGAATAAACTGATTGGCTTTGTGACTCTGGGCAGGTTGTTTGACCTGCCTGTGCTTTCGTTTCCTTACCTGTAAAATAAGAATAGTAGCCACGGGCTGGTTCTACCTCTAGAACATATTCCAAATCCATCTGTTTGAATCTACCCCTCTTGGGACCTCCCTGGCCCTAGCCACATGAGATCTTGCCTGGGCGCCTCCTTTTCCTACTCCTGCCTCACTAGTCAGTTCTCTACATTGTGGCCGGAGTGGTCCTTTTATAACAGCCTTCAGTGGCTTCTCATTACACAGACCAGAATCCAGACTCCTCATGTCCTGTTTAGTCTCTTTTGCTTCTCTAGCCTCCGCTCACCTCTAGCAGTGCTCTCCTGAGTGTGTCTCCTGCCATAAGTT